AGAAATAATGAGTTGTCAAATGAAAATGCGCAAAGATTTTTTGTATGAAATATGAGCAGAAAAGCGAGTTACTCAGGTGTACGTGGCGTATAAGTACGGTGACCATAAATATGGATTCAAAATGAAGGACAATTTTTCAAAAATATACCTACATATATTTACATAGTATCAAAATATCAAAAGAGTATTTATGATTCAAAATTCTTAATACATTTTAAACTTTAAGAATGAATCACGTTTTCTTCATCGATATTAATCTTTTTTACATGAATATTTATAAATACATATAGTAAAACATATTATAATTACAATAGCTTACACGAAAAGTGAAAATCTTTAAAAGATTATTTTATAGGCAAATTTTGAGTCGTTCAAAAAGAAAAGAATACCCTTCTTTTTTGTTTTTTGGTACTTTTCGCAGTTATTTGTCAAAAGTCGTCGTCATGAATCGACGTAAACGACGAGTTACAAAGTGCCCTTTACAAAAATATATAATTTGTGCAGATTGCGCTCCATAGCATCTACATTTCTAATCCGATTTTCATTATCTTTGGCTCAAAATTTACTGTAATGATATACCTTTTTTATCGAATTTTTAAAATAATGAAAAAAGTTATCGAATAAAACTGCGTATTTAATTGAAAATCTCACTTTTTTTGACTTTGACGACAAAATGCAAATGGTCGCCTGTAGCACTAATAATTTTCATTGAAGTCGCCACAAGAGGCACATCAATACCCTTCGAGCTGGAAGTCGCTTACGTTGATTTGGAGATTTTTTCATGAGATATTGAAGAAAAGCTACGAAAAGTACCAAAAAACACTTTTTTGAAAAAATCCATCCACTGTCCGATAATGCGGACAAATGCAGGACACTTGGAAAAAATCAGTACATTTTCAGGTTTTTCAGGTTTGAAAAACTACGCAGGACCGACCTTTCAAAAACAGTACGGTCCTGCAAAAAACAGAACGGATGGTCACCGTACGTATAAGTAACTTTCGTTCCTCCTCATTTTTCATACAAAATATCTTTTCATATTTTCATTCGACCACTCATTATTTCTTATTTATCCATCGATTTTCTTCATTAGTAATTTGATTTTTTTTTTGTAACACAACAGGCTTTAGTAAAAATGCAAAAATTTGGCACAGAACCTTATATTTTTTAAATTTTTCTTCTGTTAAAGTTTCATTAAAAAATAAAGAAAGCTGGAATGATTAATTAATTTGTCAGAAACTATAGGCCCTATTGGAAAATGATGTATATACGGTTTCTGGAGAATTTCATTAGCTTTCATCTGCCGCTATATTAAGATTTTTAAATTGGTTCGTAAAATATACGTGATTAGAGGAAACCAACTTTTGCTTTAAGCTGAACAACGGTATATTAAAAATATCTCGAAAACCTACGTATAGAATAAAAAATTAACACATTTTCGGAATTACCGAGCTATTCTACATAGGAATTGGATAGTGGCATCCATAGAACATTTTTGGTGTAAACCAGTTATATTTTTCACGGGAGATCTATTCGAACAGACTATATGTCGCATTTGACCCAATTGTCGCTTGTGTTGACATGCGTAGATTTGATGCATCATTTGATTTCAATTTAAATCAATTCAGTCAGTGTCAAAAATATATGAGCGACATAGCATGAAATGGGATTTGCATGATGTGACATATGTCGCTATGTTTTATGGTTCAACATTTGCAGGCCTTTAAACACATACATACTACATTCATACTCTGCCCAATTTTAGTGTATACACTTTCGAAAGTTTTTTCTGCATAGCTTTTTGCCAGATTTTATCGGTCAGCAAGATTATACATATTAACTAAGTTGTTTATACTCTTTGGAAACAAGTTCTAAGAACCCATGAAATTTGGCGAAACTTTTACATATACCATATATGTATGTAAATATACATTAGAGTGATTAAAAAAACACTATTTTTCGAAATTCATAAACGCTACATCAAAATATTGTTATTTGTTATAAAGCAAGAGACATGTATTTTTTATTTAAAAAAAATAAGTTTTTTGGAGGTCGGACTAGTCGATTTTTTATAAATAAAACAAGAGACATGTATTTTTTATTTAAAAAAATAGTTTTTTTGGAGGTCGGACTAGTCGGTTTTTTATAATGTCGATGTTCTCAATGCTTTTGTTTTCCTGACCTGTCAAAGTGCAGCTAAAAATGTTATTTTTACACGTTATCACTCAGGGATTATTGGTGAATATTCCCATAATTAAATATACCTGTAATGGACAGTTAGAGTGAGCCTAGTGCCCGAAAATATGCTTTCAAAAAATACTACTAAAATTAAAACGTTGATATTGGAAGATAGATAGATTTCTGGGGTAGCTAATTAGGAATCTGAAGTCAGTTTTTCCAACTTCAAAATGGCGGTTCCATAATGGCGTCACCGATTCTCTACTTTTCTGCTCGCTTGTTTGAGTTCCGGTCGCTTAGCTAAAATTTTTGCATGTGAAAGCAACAACAAAGTTAGCTAGCAATGATGGACGATAGCGGGTTTGGTTGTACCTCATTGAGTTCGTTCGTTTCGTCACTCGCTAGTTGTTGGCGAAGAGACGGCGGCTAATATTCTGCAGTAACACAGTCCTTAATTTCTTGGTTGTTAGCTTTGATCCTTCCACTCTCCTTTGAGTATAAATTCTCTGCCTTCCGTTGATGCAGAAGGATAGACAATATAAAATTATAACTCCTTTGATCGAAGTTAAAGGGAATATATACTACTTATGATGAAATAATTCTTCACCGGAATAGTTCCAGTTTTGGTACAACTTTAGAACTATTTTAGCACTACACCATTGCATTAGCATGAATTATTCTTAACTTTTACAATAACGATAGTTAAAGTTGAAAAAATTAAAATATAGAAAATAACAATATAATTTAAACGTCTATAAATTTTCCTTCTAAAACATATTCGATGTTTGAAATCGGATGAAAAATATGTTAGCTATTAAAACTAGATAAGTGGATCAAGTGCGAAACTAACGGGTTTTCAATCAAAAACTTAGAGGGTTTAGGCACTATATGCAATATATGTTCATATTCTATTCGACCCTACTTACAACCTGTCCTATATAGTTTTTCGCTTGTATTTTCACTGTCACACCGAGCAATATCTGACCTAATATTATTTTTTAGGTCTCTAAAAACTTTAAGTACTTTTCGAGATTACTTCTCTCCACTTACTATTTCTAGGACAAACTTTAATAATACCCTGTAAAAATCGTTGGACAATGTGGTCGCCCATGGTATATTGGAGTACTTACAAAAGTGCACCTCTGTCATGTTGTAGCGGACCAACTCGTGTCTCTGCACCTGTTTATTTTTGGCCGATCACTGCTCGTGTTTTAACGAAATGTGATTTAAGTTGAGCATTTGAAAGCACATTTACATGTCTGGCTGTAGCTGAACGTGTAGAGATGCTCGCTGTTATTTAAATCAGCAATTGTTAGCGCCTAGCATGTTTGGGTTCGAATGCCGTCGGAGGCAACATGTATTTTTTATTTTTGTTTTTGGTTTTTATTAATTGCGAAAAATCATCTGTGAAGTGAAGAACAGAAGCGTGTACAAACAAAAAAATATATCAACAATGCTATATGTATATGGTCCTGCCCTAGGGCATCCCAATGTTAATTCGATCATATTTTTTATATGATTTGTGGTTTATTTTGGAGTACTCCTTGGCCCTTGGGAGTACTCTTTACATGCATACATGGAGTAGCCGCGATTTTTGCAGGGTAATTCATGTAAAGGTTTCAGATCTAAACACATACATGCACACACTTATTATGTATATGGGCAAATCCTAGCGTTGCGGACGTTACGTTCGGACGTTTCTTTTACCTTTTTTGCCGACAAAAATATTATAAGTTAAAAATTTGTAGCAGTCCTTATGGGAACAAAATAACGGAAATTCGAATTTGGGTTAATGTCGGTGTTTTTGCCTTCGAAATTTATGTTCGGATGTTACTGCAAAAGGAAGCGATTTTTTATGGCCATCAAAGTCAACCGATTTGAGCAAATTGTCGTGCATGGAGGGTACAATCTACAAAAATACTTTGAAGGGAAAGTAATGAAGTTTACAAAATGTGATATTAAAGCAAACTCAAGATTGGATTAACTTTACAACAATTTTATATGTGCGTTCGGGACGTTACGTTACGGACGTTACCCTTTTTTGTTGAAAAAATTTATTTAATTGAAGCGATATTGTTTCAAGAAGTAAGAGGGCCAAATCAGGTTTCTCAAATAAAAGTGAAAAGAAATATGAAATAAGAATATGTTGTGCTATGCCTTTTTTGGCACAAAAACTAGAGAATTCGAATTGCATGAATTTTTTGCGATTTTGGTTGACCATTTCTCGGATCCGCCCATATTCATATCTAAGTACACTACCCCACCTCTACGAATTTGCCTGTTTCTAGTAACATTTCTTCAAGTAAATAATTGGCAGACTACATTCATATAATCATTTGTGAAGTAAAAGCATTGTGATATTCTTATATGTGCATATACATACATATGTATATAGTAAATGTCCTTACGTTCGATTTGTTCATTTGTATAAGACGCTTTAAATTGCAAAAACGTTCGGCATTCGCTTTCACACTATTTCCCATGGTAACCTTTGTTTCATTGCCGCAAACATATTTTATTTTTTTTTTTTTGGATACCAGATTTTCAGTACGCTTTCCGCTGCTCCTTTGAGAATACACACTTATATGTATACATACATTTATATACATGCTTTATGTGTAATATATTATTGTATTTCTCTTCACACGTTCTCAACGCCATGGTGTCTGCCTCTGCTACTGTCTGTACGATTATTGCTATATGTACATATTTTACTCTGTTGGTCGCCGGCATTGATGTCTTTTGTTTCCTTGTCAATGCCACCCCTCACATTCGTTCCGCATACAATTGGAAATCAACTCAAACGAAATGGAAAACGAACGCAGGGAATTACGCTGTTTGCGCAATTCAATTCACGCCAATTTATTCTTCACATATATAATGTCGGCGTTGCTGTGGATACTCACTTTATCTGTACATGTAAGTATAAATAACTATTTTTTTCAAACATCAACAAAAGTTTCAAATATATTGTAACTACATATACTTACATATACGCTCTAATATAATATACACACATGATTAAGCCACGTGACATTTTAACTTGTTTTGGCAATTTTTCTTTTGTTTATTTATTGTTTATATTTCTTTTATAACAGTCTAGCACTTTACCTAACCAATGTCACATAAATCTGCATTTCAAAATTCGTACTAAGATTATGAAAATTCAACAAACTTTAACATTAGCACTTAAAAATTTCAAAAATTTTATTTAGAATTTTGGGTATGCAGTTTTATAGCTCATTAAATTTTAGTAGGTTAAAGTGCAAATTTCAAGAAGCTAAAAAATCGCGTTGATGTTTAATATTTTTTTGGGTTTTATTTATTTTGACGGTTTTGTGCATTTTCTTCCATATAAAATATGCATACCCATTTTTATTTTTTTTATTCTAAATAAAAAGTTTAAAATTTTTGGGTGCAATCGTTAAAGTTTATTGAATTTTCATAATTTTTGCACGAAGTTTTAAATGTGGATTTATGTGGCGCTGGTGATGGAGATGAACGCATTGGCAAAAAATTTACAAATCAACTCCACGTGTAAACTTTGAAGTCCCACCAACCATCAAAATATAACCAGAAAACATATTCTGGTCTCGAAATTTATAATAGTTAGTTTAATATTGTTATAGAATAACTACACTGGTCTCGAAAATCAATATAGGTAGTTTAATATTGTTATAGAGCTTTATTCCACGATTTTGTTTATTAGGAACAAGTGAAAAAGCAACAAATTCTAAGCGGTAGAAGTTATAGCAGCTATTTCGGATATCACCACCTCTCCTCATCAGACTTCTTTTACTAGATTTCAGCAGGGATCGATCCCTAGATTGCTGATTCTAAATACATATACCCTCATTTGTTTTCTAACACATCTTGTTTTCGAGTTATAGCTTTCACCTTCGTGCGATGGAGGAACGCTATCAAGGCCTCTGAATGTTTAATCAGATTTTTTAGAATTTTTTTTAGTATACAGTTTTGTAGCCCAATATATTACATTACATAAAAGTGCAAATTTATAGTAGCTAAGACTTGCCGTTGATTTTTGGAAATTTTTTCACTTAGTTTCTTCCACAAAGAAAAAAAATCTAAAATACTTTGTATGGAAAAAATGCGAAATACTAGAGTCATATTTCGTAAACTAGAGCTAATACAGAAATTTGTTGGGCGGCGTAATATTTCGGAAATAATTGCCGTAGCTGGTTTTGTCAACTTCGCTTTTAACTTCATTTTGCTTCATTACTTGGTGTCCCGATTTTCAAAGGGGTATTCAGGTTACTTTGATAAGGATGTCTAGAATACAGTCAATTTATAACAAAAGAAAAAAAATGTCCATGGGAAAAATTTTACCGCAATGCAATTTCTTTTTCTTTATTAATAGGTTTGTTCGTCTAAAATAAAGAAAGATTTATCCAATACTCAAAATATCAGAGAGTAGAAAAAAATTATCTCGAATTCTCTTTCAAGTTAAAAACCTGCAAATTTTTCAACTAACCCAGGTTTGCAGGAATTCGAAACTTTTCCTGCCAGCTGGTGCCCACGGTTACATTTCAAACATAATAAGTTTTTATAGAATTTTTAAAATTATTTTAGATAGTCAAATCTAGGCAATATTCTTGTTGTTCTGCCTTTCTTTAACATACATACGTTTCAATTTACATATTTGTCATAGTAACTGCTGACTTTCCGAAATCGACTTTGGTTACGATTACATTTCGATTACGAATACAATTTTTTCAGCCGATTAACTAAATTAATTAAGTAAACAAGTATTTGTTAACACTTCTCATTAGAAAATCGCTCAAGTTAATAAAGTTTTAAATTTAACGGACCTGTCTATTCAAACTATAGTTGACAAAAATGCCACCATATGCCACAATCATATGTTTTTCATGATTGCAAATTCTTGCTGGCAAAATTTTTTTCAGAGAACTGATACTTTGCGCTCTAAATTTTTGAGTGATGGATAATTTTTTGGTCTGCACGAATGCGATTCGAACGAAAAACCTGATAATTTGTGAAAAATGTTTGCTGGACGAACAAAAGTAATTTTAAAGAGTTGAAATAAATATGTTGGTTGCTCTTGAAAAAGCTCCATTTCCTTCTTGTTGACCAGACTTTATGTATAACATATGTAATTGTACTATGCATTCAATGATATTGCAATACCTCTATTACTAATGTATAAGTAATTGTATGTCTTTGATTATCACAATTTTTTTTTGGTTTTTGTTTTAAAAAGATTTCCATACGAACGGGCTTAGGAGGATGTGTTGTCTTGGTAACCCTGTTTCATTTCTTCACTCTAACAAATTTCTTCTGGATGCTCGTTGAAGGTAAGTGTATATTACAATGTTTCGCGTTTGGCTTTGCGTTTACATACCTTCCGTTTCTTTGTGTACTAAATGCAATAAATGTATGTGTGAACATCAAACAAACAAATCAAATTAAATTATAGCAATTACTTGCAAAATACGTTTATAAACGAAAATAGAAAGGCACACAAAAATTTGCGTTCATACACACACTGCCACTCACCGGAAGGATGATGTCGGAGGGAAAATTCCGATAGCTTCTCCTGCGATGAAAGACCAGGAGAAGAAGAACTTGGATTCTTTTGGCATTTCCCATTGGTGTTATTAGGGAACAGAAGAGAAACTACTTTATTGGTCTCAGACAAAAGCACTTAGGCAGTTACAGCGCCAAACAAGAAAAAAAAAATTAAAGGTTGAATGCATGATAAAAACATAACAAGGTAAAACCATTGAGAGGCAGTCTGACGTTTTCAATCTCAAGGACAACAATTGCGAACATTTTCACTTTTTAATTCCCAATTTTATATGATTTTAAAATGCTGGCAAACGTCAGAAAAAAATCATGGCCGACGAATTGAGAGAATGAATTTACCTTGTATGGTTTGCTCGGTGATTTCGAAAATCAAGCTTATTTTGTTTTATGTATAACTTTTCGAGATATTTGCAATTTACTGCTCAGCTTAAAAAAGAGTGGTACCACTTAATTACGTTTATCTTACAAACCAATTGAACAATCGTAATACTAAACACGGCAAATGAAATTCTTCATAAACTCGATTTTCGGAATCATTGGGCAATTCTACATAGGAATTGGATAGTGACATGCATATAAAATTTTTGCTGTAAACCAGTGTAATTGATTCTCGTTCCTTTAAACAAGGTAAAAATAAAAATTCAATGACAGTGCCTATGTAGTTGTTTTTGCTACAGCTATTACTTGCTTAGGAATTAAAATGGCGTTAACACCTCATTTACAGAAACTAGTTTATGCATAAGGCAGTTACAGTTGATAATTTTGTCGATCTGTTCTGCTGAGCGGCAGTGTATGAGGCTTCAGCATACTTTTTCATAACTGAACACGAAGATGTTTACGCTCGAAAATGAGATACGCTCTTATTTTTAGAAGCCTTTGTATGTACATTAGGATGGTCCAAAATAAGTAAAATCGGAATTTTAATGCTCTCACCCACTAGGATTGATCTAAATCGAAAAAATATACCATATTTTTTATTTTGAAATCAAATAATATTTAGAGATCGCTCAAAGTTGTCCACTTATTTTATATGGGGGAAAAACTTTTCGTGAAAATCGTATGGAATTCTTGAAAATCAATATTTTTTTGATCTGGCTCTTTTCAGAAGACCTCCAATAATAATATCCAATTGCTTATTTACATACTTATTAATACTAAAGATCTTCTATTTATCTCGCCATTGCATTTTCTGGCATTTTCTAGAGGTTTTGGCGGACCTACATATAAAATATAGTTAACATGAAAAAAGGTTAAAAAAATAATTGCGTATTATCTATATTGGAAATCTTCTGAAGAGAAAATGAGTTTTTCGGTCGAAAAATATTAATTTTTAAGAATTCTATACCATTTCTACGAAAAATTGTTTTTTCCCCATATAAAGTATATGGAAAACTTTGAGCGCTTTGAGCAACCTCTAAATATTTTTTGCTTTGAAAAGAAAAAATTTTGGTATATTTTAGTGGTATAAAACAATCATAGATGGTGAGAGCGTAAAAATTCCGACTTTATTTTTCTTATGCATTTTTGGACCACCCTAATGTACATACACATTATTTCTCGTCTTTATCTATCTATAAATATGCAATTCAATCGAAACATAGTAACATTTCCATTTTTAATCTAATTTATGTAAGTTCCTATGTACATATGTATTTGTTTCTTTTTTTGGGCTCCATTACAGGTCTTTATTTGTACATGCTGGTGGTGAAAACATTTTCTGGCGATAACATACGTTTTAATATATACGCAATAATCGGATGGGGTAAGCATTTTATTACATTGTGTGCTCCTTATTTTTAAATTTTAACCTACAAATCAAGATTCCCCCTCGACCAGTTAGTTTGGTAATAAAAATTTGCCCTGCGGAAAATTTTCAAAATCGGTAACGGTACGATGTGCATCAGATGGCTAAAAAATGCGAAAATGTATTAAATTTGTTTACAAAGTTGTCCATACATAAGTTAGTGGGCAGTTTAATCAGAGATGATTTTAGTATTTAAAATAAAAGTATTTAAAATAAAAAATAAGTATATTTAATTGGTATATGGAAGATTATTTTTTATTTACATTTTAAATATTATTTATAACTCGTCATATCACAAAGTATTCCTTTACAACACTGTCACCAATTTTTTGACATTTGGAAATTCTCTTATTCGGATTACCAAGAACTTAACCGCCGCCCCAAAATTTAAGTGGTAATAGTAAAACTCCAGCGGTGATGTCATGCAGAGCGCAACATCAAAATTGGAGTAGGTCGCCGCTGCACAGTGTACTTTTTTAGGGGCGTGATTGATCAAAAACCTATCACTTTTGAACGGGCTTAAATTTTTATCGCGAGTTTTTCTTTGTTATTAAGTAGTAAATTGTGTATCGATAGCTGTAACAAAAAATTTAGATAAGCTCCAACTTTACCTTGAAAAGTTACATCAAATTTAAAAAATTAAATAAACAAAATATATATGTATATTTTCAAAAATCTTATTATTTAACCGTTTTTTTTTATTTTTTTATTATGTAATTATCAATAGCAGTAAAAAATAGAATTTGTAAACTGACCCGAAAAATAATAATTAAAATAATACGATTTTAGTTCAAACTTCAAGATTTTCAAATTTTATTTTTTTTGAATTGTCAAGTTTTAAAAAATATTACTAATTGATAAAATCAAAATTTTGAATATCTTTTAAATTCTACCATCAAACGTCAGCCACAAATCCGTAAGAAGTAAATTTTATTCATATTAAAGTAGGGGAAAAAAATTTAATTTTTTCAAATTTTTTGCACAGCTTGAATTTTGTCAACTAAAAGTGATAATACAAATTTATAAATTTTTAAAATAGACTTTTAAAAACAATAAAAAGTGGTTATAAAATATTTACACCAAAATATCGTCGAAGTGGCGTGATTAGGGGATCGGAGAATATCAGCAAGATTTTCATTAAATCAGCATTTTGGTCTCTCGTGTGCATTTCTTCTGAAAATTCACCAAAAGGAACGAAGCAATACTGTAGGGACGCCAAAATGACACAAAAAAGCCGTAACACGTAAACTTAATTTTGAGTCGTAGATTACGGATCTGTATACCGTTTTCCTAGATCGGGTCATTTTCCCAAGATATTTTCATTTTAAGTTTGCATTGCGAATAAAAAAATCTAATTTTAATATCGTCGTTTAAAGTACAAAACCGCGTATCAACAAATTGCAAAACCGCGTATTTGAAGTTGCATAAATTATTTTCTATATAGTAAAACACTCATATTTCGAAATGATTCTCTTTTTTATAAAGCAATCGCACTTCTGGCTAGTATATTTCAGGACGAATGGATAAGGCTTAAGCCAAGAGCTTGTGTGAGCAAATCCAATTTTTGACAGCAAATGTCAGTTACCCGGTTATGCAGAATGACGATACGCGGTTTTGTAATTTAAACGACGATATGGAAAATGTTACTTATACGTCATGTGCGGGTACGGCCGTATACGATGTGGCGTATGAGTAATACTATTTCTCGTTCCAATTTCATACAAAAAATTTTGTAACTACACATTTTCATTTGACTATTCAAAAGTCGTTTATTTATCCACCAATTTTCATCGTTAGTCACTTGATTTTTTAATACTAATAAAAAAACATTGCACAAAATGTGTCATTTTTTCCATGTTAAAGATTTAATTTTTTAATGACAATATCTTCGGAAAATTACGTGATCTGGAAAAACGGTAAACAGATCCATAATGTGCAACCCAAAATTAAGTTGACGTGTGTTCAAGAATTCTATACCATTTGAACACTTTGAGCGCTTTGAGCGACCTCTAAATATTTTTTGATTTCAAAATTAAATAAATAATATAAAAAAAAAAACTTTTTAATATACAACGCTTTTATAAATGGACTAAAAAGTAGAAAATAATATTTCCCAGTCCCATAGCATTTTTTTTGATAACTTTTGATTTTGAAATTTTAGCAAAAGTCATTATAAACAATTTATGAGATTGAAAATGAAAACCGTGGAGCGCCTGCAATACAAAGCATTAGATTAAATTGACATTAGTTAAACTACATAACATAGACCTAAAATTGCTACAGAGAAAGTACAAACTTGAGATCGATTTTAAGCGGTCGTTATTCATATATCCTCATACATACATACATACAAATATTACCCTGCATATAAATTAAGGTCTATTACATGCGCCCCACGCTTTTAATTTTCTATCTCATAAATTGTTTATAATGACTTTTGCTAAAATTTCAAAATCAAAAGTTATCAAAACAAATACTATGGGACTTAGAGATATTATTTTTTACTTTTTAGTCTATTTATAAAAGCGTTTTTATATCGAGCCCTAACCGCCAAAATAACGTAAGCGACATTTTTTTCAAAATTGTATTTTTGATGCAGAAATGCATCTAGATGCTCTAGGAATATTTCTGCATCAAAAAGAAAATTTTGAAAAAAATGTCGCTTACGTTATTTTGGCGGTTAGGGCTCGATATTATTTATTTTCTACATTTTATTCTTGTCTGTATAAAATTTCGCAATAGATATTAAAACAATTCAACGACATTAATAGATTGGTGCACATAAATGCAGTGCACATACATGCACACATATATGTTTTTAGATTAGGGTGGTCCAAAAACAATAAAGTTGGAATTGTAATGCTCTCACCCCCTAGGATTGTTTTATACCGAAAAAAGAATACCCCTATTTTTTTTTTTTGAAATCAAAAAATATTTAGAGGTCGCTCAAGGCCCTCAAACTTTTCCATGTATTTTTATATGGGAATATACATTTTTTCGTAGAAATGGTATTGAATTCTTGAAAGTCAATATTTTTCGATCGGAAAACACTGTTCTCTTTAGGAGACTTTCGATAATATTACCAAATTGTTTATTTAACCATTTTTTAATACTAACGATTTTTTATTGGTCACCGCATTGCATTTTTCAGGGGTCTTGTGGGTTTTTGGCGGACCTATAAATTACAGTTGCAATAAAAAAATGGTTAAATAAACAATTGCGTATTATTACTGGGAATCTCCTGCAGATAAACAGAGTTTTCTGAAAGAAAAAGATTCATTTTTAACTATTCTATACCATTTCTACGAAAAGTTGTTTTTTCCCATATAAAATATTTACATGGAAAACTTTGGGCGCTTTGAGAGACCTCTAAATATTTTTTGATTTTAAAATAAAAAAATAAGAGTATATTTTTCGCTATAGAAGCATCCTAGGAGGTGAGAGCATACGAATTCCGACTATACTTTTTAACATGCACTTTTGGAACACCCTAATGTGCATATATACGAGTAGCAATTAATTTCATTTAAATAAATGGCGTGTCATCCATTTCCGCTATAGCGTACGCAGTGCATAGGGCGACATCTACCTCTCAACCAATGAGATTGATGTCTAGTTTTTTTTATTGGAACTCTGCAAAGCAAAGGTTTTATGGCTGTCTGGACACACAAAATTGCAACTGTTTGGACACACAACATTGCTAGTTGATATAAGCGTTGTAAAATAGGGGTATATTTTTCCGATATAGAACACTCCTAGGAGGTGTGACCATTAAAATTCCAACTTTACTTATTGCGGACCATCCTAATGCACATATAAGCACATAAGTACATGCAAGCTCAAAAATATTAAAGTTTAACATTTTGATTTCGCAGGAGGGCCAGCAGCTTTCGTTGTTATTTGGGCAATTGCTAAAGGATTTACGATATCGTACGATGTGGAGCAGGTATAGACTATGTATTTTTATTATACACACTTAAGTTTACGTATACTATATGTATGAATAATATGCATTGAATATGTACACGACTGTTACCACTTATTTGCCTTGGAAGATTGCCACCCCTATAGTTTAGCTACTTTTATTATGCTATCGTAATTTTTTTCTCTTTCTTCACTTAAATTCCACTGCATTTTATTTAGTTTGACATTGGATGCCCTTGGATGCAGGAAACTTATGTGGATTGGATTTTTCAGGGTCCTGTATGTGCAGTGCTGATTATGAATTTAATATTTTTACTGCGTATAATGTGGGTAAGTGTTTTAGCCAACTCTCTCGCTTGCATGCAAAAACGAATGTAACTGCTTGCATTATGTACATATTTATTTATGTACATTTATTGCTCATAAAAATAAAAGTATTTAGATATAATCGTTTTTCGTTGCCCAGAAGGGAAAAGGTTGAATTATTTTCATTACGGGTCCCTTCTTATGATACGATTAAGTATGTGTACAAATGCAGTGGCGGATAAAAGAAGAAGAGATCATGTAAACCTTTTCGCCAACGCACAGAGGGCTATTTGCATAGTAAAACCTGTCGAAATTTTTTGGTGGTTTTAAAAGGAAACAAAAAAAAAAAGGAACAGTCCAGCGCCTTCGTCTTGGTCTGCAGGCTGTATCGGAGATACACCCGCTAAATTTAAACGTAGAATACGTGGTATGGTTAAGAGCATATCCAAGTCAAAAACGAAAGCACAAACTAAGAAAAAAATATCGATAACAAAAGCGATAATAAAATCGATAACAAAATCGATAAAAATGTCGATAACAAAATCGTTAACTAAATCGATTACAAAATCGATAAAAAATCGATTACAAAATCTATCGAAAAATCGATTACAAAATCGATAACAAAATCGATTCCAAAGTCAATAACAAAATTGATAACAAAATCTATCAAAAAATCCATTACAAAATCGGTAATAAATTCGATAAAAAAACGATAAAACTATCGATAACAAAAGCGATGGCAATATCGATAGCAAAATCGGTAAAAAAACCGATAAAAATACCGACAACAAAAGCGATAACAATATCTATAGAAAAATCGATAAAAATATTGATGACAAAAGCGACAAAAATATCGATAACAAAAGCGATAACAATATCGATAGCAAAATTGTTAAAACAATCAAGAAAAATATCGATAACAAAACCGATAAATAATCAATAATAAAATCAATAACAGAATCGATTAAAAAATCGATAACAAAATCGATAAAAATATCGATCATTATATCGATAAGTTCCGAAAATATCGATAGCAAAATCAATAACAACATCGATACAAATTTCGATAACAAAATCGGTGAAAATATCGGTAACAAAACCGATAAAAATATCGATGGCAAAATCGATTAAAATATCGGCAACAAAATCTATAAAAATATCGATAACAAAATCGATAGCAAAATCGATAACAAAATCGATAAAAATATCGATAACAAAACCAAACAGATCCACATTAACTGAAACTTTCATATGTACGTATATATGCATTTACATATGTACATACGCTGCGATCAAAAGCCGCATTACATACGCATACATACTTTTTGTCTCCTTCCCACACTTCCAACATATGCACGTGTTTGCAAAATGACGACGAGGTGATTTTGTATGGAAAATCATTTATGCCCATATATTTGAATAAAATAAACATATATAGAAGATATCAACCAATACTTCCCATATACCAAACGAAAGGAAAACTCTTGAATTTTTGATTAAAGAAAACAAAAACAAAATCATTCGAGCGGTTTTCGAGCATTTTGGTAATGAAAAAAATTTGCAAATTTTTTCAACAATTTTTTGCCTTAAAATGCTCAATATTTGTTAAATTTATATAAAATTTGTACCCGATAATATTTCTACTGCTCCAAAGAACCTATATCCCGAAAATGAAAGTTATATATGCCAACAATAAGTTGCTAGAGCACTTTAAAGGCTCAAAATTGACCCCAAAATAAGGCAATGTTTACCGTTGTTTTTACGACAGAAACCGAATTCGTTATTTATAAAAATGAATCTGTCGACAGGTTTGGAATTTTATCTTTGAAACGCCACACTTTTCTTTGAAATCGCTTTATTAGTTCTCGTGCAATAAGCGTTTTTGTGAAGCTCTAAAAATTACAACTACAACATTTGAACATAGCCCCCATACCTTAAGGTAAGACGTATTCTACGTCAAAAAGGCCGAGACACGTAAACTTAATTTTGGGTCGTAGATTACGGATCTGTATACCGTTTTTTCGAGATATGGTAATTTTCCCATGGAAATACGCCATGCACGGTTATATACGATATGGCGTATGAGTAACATTCTTCCCTGTTCTTATTTCATAAAAAAATCTTGCCCATTTTCATTTGACCATTCAAAACTTGTTGATTTATACATCGATTTGCATAGTTAGTAGCTTGATTTATAGATTTTAATACAAGTGAAAAGTATATAAAACATTTGTAAAGTTTTTGACGTAGAATACGTCTTACGTTTCGATATGGAGGCTATGCTCAAATGTTGTAGTTGTAATTTTAATAGCTCACGAAAGCGCTTATTGCACCAGAACTAATGAAGCGATTTCAAAGAAAACTGTGGCGTTTCAAAGATAAAATTTCTATCGACACATTCCTTTTTGTAAGTAACCAATTCGGTTTCTGTCGTAGAAGCAACGGTAAGTATTGACTTATTTTGGGGTTAATTTTGAGCCTTCAAAGTGCTCTAGCAATTTATGATTTGCAGATATAACTTTCATTTTCAACAAGTTTTGTTATTACCAAAATGCAAGAAAACCGCTCGAATGATTTTGTTTTGGTTTTCTTTTATCAAAAACTCAAGTATTTTCCTTTTTTTTGGTATATGGAAACTACTGGTTGATATATATGTCTATTTTATTCAATTGTATGGCCATAAATATTTTCCATACAAAATCACTTCGTCATCAATCTGAAAACACGTGCTTGCGCTGAAAGCGAGGGAAGGAGACAAAAAGTATGTCTGTGTAGGTATTTCGACTTTTGAATAACAGATGGCGTAATATTTATAACATAATCGCAGCGTATGTATATAAAAACATACTTAGAATATTAAAGAGGGTTGCCACCCCTTAAAAAGGTAAACTCTAATTATTTAATAAGTTAAAGCAATTATTAAGAATATGGGTATCAAATGAAATGAGTTTAAAATATATAATATTTTAATAATATATATATATAATATTTTAATATATATATAATATATAATATATAATAAATAATATTAGACGCAAGAGATTTGTTTATTTCATAACTGTAATAAGGAAGATTGCCGGCTGTTTAAGAAGTTTTAGCCAAGGTAATAGCAGTATAGCAAACACAGCCCTGCCATGTATTTTTTTGTTGCTTCAGAAGCCTAGAATCAAAATCAAAAGGAAGCAAGGAGGATGCTAATATATCGTCGCCTGGGTAAAATATTGTCACAGTTAATTTCGGTAGGTTGTGGGAAATCGCGATTGAAGTTTGGAATACAATTTGTCAAAAACGCGAACTTAGATTTTCTCCAAAGCCTCTGAAAATGATACTAGTTCCCAAAACTCTTAAATTATTTAATTTTTAATGTTTATTGTTAATTAGTTTTGAGTTTATGAAGGATTTTATTTAGTAAAATTTTGTCGTAAGCGCCATTTGTCCACAATTTGGCAGCCACTTTGTATGAAATACGACATAATGTGATCAAAATTTCTACCAAATTAACGACACTCTTTACTCAATATCTCGGAAACTAAAGGAGATATACAGAAATAGAGAACACCATTTCTAAGATGACTGCATCACTAACTAAATTTTTACTAAATTATCGAAAAAATTGTAGTCAATGGGCCGTATGAATAAAAATAAGCAATTGCTTTTTCTTAAAATTTTAGAACTTTTACTCGATTTATTCAAACAAAAGTAAAGTAACAGGTATGAAATTTTAAGATAAAGCAATTGCTCAGTTTTTATTCATACGGGCCAATATCTCGGAAACTAAAGGAGATATCTAAAAACTGATGAGACCAATCGAAAGACCTTATTTCAAAATATATAACTGCATCTATAACTAAAAATCGTCAAAAGGGCGCTTACGACAATCTTTTACCCAGGCGACGATATGTTTATGTGAATGTGTATATGAGTGTAGCAAAATTTGACTGATCACGAAGAAGAAAACTATGTAATACGGGGGCCTAGGCTAATACAAAAAGGAATACAAATTTCTGTAGTATGAAAGGAAAAAAAAAATGAATTGAATTAGTGATACAACGTCACGGCATACATATACATAACTATTTATAAGCTGGTGGTACTTAGTATTGAAGTTAATGAGGATCTACTTCTCTATTGCTAATTATTAATTAATTATTTTACGATTCATATTGACTTATTAAATTCCGTTCAATACAATAAAATATCTAGCATATATCGTTTTTATCTTCTACATTTAAGTTTAGCGGCTGCGGCTCCGACACAGCCCGCAGTTTGAAGAAGGCGCTGGACTGATAGTTTTTGGAAACTATCGATATCGGTTTTAGCGAAACTTCACAATGTCTCTTCATTAATGTCTTAATTTTTTTTTGCAAGAAAATTCACAACAGTCGGCAAAAAAAAATGTAGGTCATTGGCATTTTTAGCAACTATAAGCTTACACTGAGTTATAGTAAAACTTAATAAGCTATAAAACTACTTACACTAAATTTTTGTGGAAATTCGAATTAAAAAGCTTGAAATCTTAATGACTTTGTATTTTTTTGTTTTGTACAACTTTTATAAAAAATTAGTAGATAATAATTAAACACAAAATAGTCAAAACTGCTAAAAATGTTGTGGAGCTATTATTTTGAACAGTACTATATTCGTTGTCTTATAATCTGGTAAAATATTAATAATTTCCCTTGTTCGGGTTTTGATATGCGCCTCCGTATTTGATCTCAGTTGAACTTTTATAAGTATGAGAGTCAATTTAAAAGAATATCTTTTGTGTTTTGTTATTTTTGTAGTATTAGAAATGTATTATTATAGCCAATTTCACTCTTTGCACTTCAAAAAGCACAAACAAACAACGAATTTAATTTTTTCATATAAAAACTAATATATTCAGATTTTGCCTGTCGCTATTCAATGCCTTTCACGACGATATTACTATCGACACTATCGATGTTTTCAACTGTCGTTTCGAAAACTATCGAGTGGCGGTACTATCGATAGTATCCCAGCTCTAGCTTGAAATATAACTTGTTCAGAGGAACTTTTATCAAAAAAAATGGCATTCTTGGTAACTGCGACGAATATTCTTTTCCATAGATTTAAAAAGTTTTTTTTTTTAATTCTGGCCACACTTCCAACTAGTAACGCTACTTCAGAATGAAGCTTTTCAGCTCTTTGCCGTTTAAAACATGGCAGTATAGTAGGTAGTAGGGATGTTGCGAATGTGGAATTTTAGATATCCGCGGATGTGGATGTTTAAAAGCTAACATCCGCGAATGCGAATGCGAATGCGGATGTCAAGTATTTTTAAGAAATAATTTAGGTGCGTAAATTAGGTGACTTAGGAAAATAAAGAATGGAAAATGTAGTCATTTTAAATGTTTTTTTTTTTTAATTTAGTACTTGAATTTAATAAGTGGAATTGGGTTAAAGCCAGTTTCTTAAAGTGTCGTAAATCAAACCTGCGCCACTACTCGCTCAAGACGAATAACTTGAAAAACTTGAAACTTGACAAAATTGTAAATTCTCTCCAATAACTCCTTTCTGAGAATTGCATCGGCGGTGCAAAGGCGGATGTATCCTCCTGCCTTTCATTTTCAGAATCTAGCATCATGAAAAGATCGTTGTTTAAACACCGTTATTTTCTATAGAATTCTTCATTCTCATTCTTTTGGTTGTTTCAGAATTTGGAGAACTTGTAATATCATCAGCGATTTTCGATTTTAGTTTTTGTAATTCATTTTTAGTCCTTTCTTCTGTGACTGGTTTGAAAAAAATGTGCTTATAGCGAGGTTGTAAATAGGTGGATATGGCAAATAAAATGTGATTTTCTGAGAATGAATATTTCGAAGAAAATTTTGTTTGAACGTCGTGGCTGCCAGCCGAATTAGTTTAAAATCTTGTTATTTTGTTAAAAAGGAACCCCGTTTTTTTAGAATAATTTGAATTATTGGAATCACGGATGAAGGTCTCAGATCTGCTTAGATCCCGGGTGACTTTTTGAAATAGTTCACCTGTAATGAATAGCTACTAATTCGGCTTTTTATTAGCTGAGATCGACTTTTCCAAATAGCAGACAGTCACAATTACTTACTCATCGCTGTTAGTACCATATCAAATCCGTTTTGTTTTTCATTCCATGTGCTCAATGTGCTTTGATATTTTGAGGCAAATGTACGCAAATTTTCAACATATCGTTAATATAGTATGGATAGGGCGTATTTCACATTGTGGCTGAAATGCAAAAAAGCCGCAACTAACTAAAATCTTGTTATTGCATAAAACGATGTGGGGACTTATGATTCGATGAAATGCATCATAATCTATCAAACAGTGAATTTTGGATTTTTAGTTAGTTTTTCAGCGTCAAGGTGAGTTACGCCCTTTTTATACTAGATATACTAACGATATATTGCATTCCAAGTCCCACTCCTCAATAGATATTAAATTCGCCTTGAAATGATTCTTATTTGATTTGTGAAATGGCTGTCAACTTTTTCACATTCCATTTTACTTTTATTTCGCTACGTGCAAATTTTGACAATTATCACAAAATTAAAATAAATGTTGTTGTTTTCGAGCACACAGAGGAGTATTTGAGTAGTAAAAACAGTGTTTTTCTGCTAAGTAATAAAAGAAAACACGGAACTTTATCATAATAAGCCGTCTTATGAAAAAAAAAACAATTATTACACTTATGTAGAAAAAAACTAGCGATGCATCCAGTTTTTTAATGTTCGATAGTTACACAATTCTTACCTAATGAAAGATTATCTTTTACCGCGCAAATTGTTGATTCTCGTTATAGAAGCGGTTCCGAATGCGAATGCGACTATTCGCAACAACCCTGGCAGGTAGTAGCAGTTTTCATGTACACTAGATGTATATGTAAAGAGATATTAAAATTGACACTGAAAGAATAATAGAAAGATTCGCGAAAAAGGAAAGCGTAAAATTTAGTTGAAATTTAAATTACTATAATCGAAGTTCTGAACAGTTTGTTAAGATAATTCCATACTTAATTCGACAAGCATTGTAAATAAGAAATATTTGTATACAAGTAGATAAATATGTATGTATATAACTGGCTTAAATAAACAGAATTCAAAATTCTCATCTTGTTATTTTTTACAAAACAATATAGTTTCTATATTGCAGGCGGCTCTACCCTGTAAATGGTTCTTGAGATAAGTAAATTCACAAAATGAAACTACTATACATACTTAGAAGTAAAACAAAATCACTTTACACTCTTTTATAAAACACCCTACATCACAGTTCTAAAACATTATATTTGTATTTGCATGCGAAATAAATGAGAGTTTAAGCCAATTGGATGCTTGTAGGGCATACCTATATCTCGAACTTGGACAGGTCACTCATCTCTGACTCCCCTCCCTCAAGCCAAATTTATTTATCCGCCACTGATGTATATCAATTACTATACGCAATTGACGAAATTTTTATCATGCGTAAAATTTACAGAAGTTTTTCTGAGTAAGTTTGATGCAACATTTTTTTGGGCAGTATAATGTTAGTATATTACTAAATGCGGCCTTGTGTTTGTATATTTTCAGGTGTTAATAACAAAGCTCCGCTCAGCAAACACCGTGGAAACGCGTCAGTATCGTAAAGCCGCTAAGGCATTGCTGGTTCTTATTCCGCTCTTTGGCATAACCTACTTGGTGGTATTAGCTGGCCCCAGCGAGAGTGGTGTTATGAGTAACATGTTCGCGGTTGTGCGAGCTCTGCTGCTCAGTACCCAGGTAAGCAAAACCTACCTTTAAAGGAATATTGTTGAAATTGCATGTGGAGTATTTACAATAAAACGACATGTATAGGAAATACATAAATAGGAAACGGTCGTTAATCCTGTTTATAATTTACCTAAATTTGCTTTTACCTGCTTAGTTCTAATTTCAATTATTGTTTTATTTGTACTTCTTGAACAGGGTTTTGCGGTATCACTATTCTACTGTTTTCTAAACTCCGAAGTGCGCAACACATTGAGGCATCACATTTCGACATGGCGGGATGAGAGGAATATTCAGCTGAATCAAAGCAGAAGGTGAGCATACAGGTATTAATACGAGTGTGTATGTATGTATACGCCAACTATTTAAGTATATGTAGCTCTTAACTTCGTTTCGATTTCTCAAGTTAACTCGATATTTATTTGTAAGTATATATATAATTGAAGAATCGGTTACAATGATTCTGTCTGACTGTCTCCTTGAAATAATACAGACCCATTAGTTCAAATTCTTTATCCTTTAAAGCATGGGTGAGATTCTCGACGATCAGATTGTATTCCTTTTGTTAGTACTAAGCGTAGATAAATTTCTACAGTGCAAATAATTCTCTTAATGCGGAATGGAATGCATAAGACGTTATCAAAAAGGCTTGAGAATTACACTGAGGAGCAAAACCGGAACAGTAATACATAATGAGAATTTTCTTGCGATATATTCGCAATAAATGAATACGTTTTTGTAATCTAGTTTCGGAATTCACATTTCCAATGTTTATTGCATCAGAAGGCCATAAAAACAATAATTAATACAAGCAGATAAAGAAAAATTATTGCAAAAAAACATAGCAACTAGATTGTTCCAGTTTTGCACCCGACAGAAAATTTTACTATTTGCTTGACTTTTAATAAATTGGCCATAACTAATTTGAATATTTCAGCTTTTATGGTCATCTTGGGATACTTTCGCACAGGTTTTAGACGAAATCTGTTGAGAACGCGCATCGGTTTTCCTCAACGCCATGCCTAAGGTCTTGCATGCGATTGGGCGAATTTTCGCAATTGAACAGTAGCATTTTCAAACAATTCCATAAGTTTTCTGTTGAATCAATTCTGGGCTTTACGCAGGTCACTCCATGATTATAAAAACTTGGGATTTATACCTATTTGGCCCCTGTTTCGGAGGATATTTCTGATCATTGCCCTGTTACAATTGATAAAAGCCTGCGAAAAATATCCTCAGAAAACGCAAAATTTTTTTAAAATGCTCATTTGTTGTCACTTTTCTTTTCACCATCGATTTTACCACAGTTCTTACTCCCTAAGGCGTAACACGGCCCTACATCATTAAATGTACACATACAAACCTAATAGTTTAAATATTTTGGGACGTTAGGCGTATCCCTGATGCAGGTGCACAGCGCTTGAACCAATACTCCGACTTAAAACGTTTAATTTTATCCTCAGAGTTAAAAAATTTAGGGCCGTGCCCTAATTAATAGTAAATTCCCGCTTCAAAATAATACCAATCCCATGTTTTTTCTTAGTAAAAATGCGTTTCGGACTAAAATTTTTCTGGATGTCAAAACAGGCTTTCTCCTCTTTATCTTTGTGCTGCAATAACTTGTTCCCATGTCTTACATAATGTCCAGTCACTTGTTTTGTGGTGATAAAACAGTAATTTTTGATTTGGAACCAAAGTTTATTGGCATTTAGAGACCCTCCAATATGCCTAGCCTGGCAAATTACAATTTTTTGTGGCCTCTTGATCTTGCAGACTGAGGTCCGCCCTTTTATCGCTTGTTTAGATAACCATAAAACGGAAATTTGGCCGATATGATTTCTTTCTTTACAGCGTGGCCTTTCTGACCGTTTTGCAAAAGTTTTAAGTTTTTTTTGCTTGGTATGTGCACTTAATGCACTCACAGCGAAAATTCTACGCGCCTTGATTACAAAATTGCAGGAAATGAGCCAGAACTCCTCTTTGAATTATAAAATTCAGAACAAAACAACAAAGAACAATCCAGTTCATTTTTGTTTGGTAATTTTTTTCTGAGTTTCCATATGCGAATCTTAAAACTTTTATGGTCAAACGTTTAGTTAAACATCGGTAAGGCGAAATGCAAGTTTGAATTACCATAAAGTAAATAAACTGAACAAGTACATTACCACAAACTTAACTTTACGTTCGATTGTTCCAGTTTTGCTCTTCAGTGTATACTCCGGAATAATCGTAGGAGTATTTTTAGTTACACTCTAAAAAGTGCATGTAAAACTACTACTGAAAGGTGTTTATTTTTCATCCAGAATCTGCGTAGATATACGCATAAGATGCTCAAGATTAGATTTTTGAACATGAGATGTTTAAAATATACGCATAAATATACAACTGAAATGCTTAAAATTACCAAAATTTGAACGAAAAAATATATTTCCTAATAACAAATTTAATCAATTGAAACATTGAAATGTAATTTTGCTCTAAAAATTACAAATTTGGTATGTAAAAGTAAACAGGCAGTGTTTA